TAATAAAGCGACAAAAATAAATATCACTGTATCTCGTTGTAATATCGTTAATACGAGAGACACAAGACGGTTATACGAGTATATAAGGTCGAGACGTTTATTGGGAAAGTACCGCCATCTATCCGCGAAATTTTGAAATAAACTCGGTCAAAACGCGAGCGACATTCGGTTGTAAACGGAGCGAAGGATAGAAGCAAAACAATTTTATTCGCGTGGCCGCACAAATGTGTATCGCGAGTCGCACAAGGTGAGCGGAAATTGAATGAAAATTCTGAATGTACGGCATATATCTGAACAGACTCGAAATAGAATAATTTAATCTAGAATCGGTTTAAAAGTGGAGAAGGAAAAAATTCAATCCTCCCGAAAGGTTGGTTGGTTAATGTCGCTCGTTCATCGAGACGCGGCCAAAAAATGCAAACGAAGAGAGGGGAGAAAGAGAGAGACAGGAAAGGCTCGTTCCAACCGGCGTGGTCCGGCGTGAAATGAATTTACGCGGTAGAGGGGGAGTGTACCTGAATTTTTGCCTCAGTGTTTCCGCTTTATCCTATTCGCGATTGGGAAGCTGAGAAATAAAGTTTCTCCAAAGAATCCTGGCAAATTGACCGAAGAAGAGGAAGAAGAAAAAGAAGAAGAAAAAGAAGAAGAAAAGTAAGCAGTTGGTTGTTGGAATCTGGCACAAGGCCGAGAATATTTTCGAGACAATGTGCAATTTTTGTTATTTGTGCGGAATTCGATGTCGAGAGGGAAATTCGTTACACGCTGGCATTTCGAAATGTGAATTTTATTAATTATTTTTGGTAATTAGTCATTGTGCTACGGATTTAGTGATATAATTGAATAACGTGAGAACGAAAGTATTTAAATTTTTCGAACTTTTCGAATATTTAACGAATACGTAGCGAATCGAAAAGAATGGAGAGAATTTTAAGAGCGCGCGCGATACTGCAAGTGTCAAGTGTGAGAAATAATAATGGAATGAGAAAATTTTACGCTTGTTGTAATACTTCGCTTCGAAATAATACTTACATACGCGAATTGTAAATATATATCGATTCCTTCCCAACACATGTGCTTATATAAATATTCGAAACGATCGAATAAATATCATTTACGGTTCGATTCGTTTGGATGGAGAACCATTTTTACGATGTCATGATTCTTCTAGTCTCTATAATAATATCGTTTGGAGAAGTAACACATCCTATAACTACAGAACATCCTACTTGGTTGGAAAATAAATAAGGGAGAATACAATCCAACGGGTGGAGGATATCTACGATATTTTTAAATACCGTATAAATATATCCGAAGCGTCTTGCGGAGAAAGAAAGAGATGGGAAGGAGAGACGTATATCGGGTTTCTTTCTCGGGGATCAATGGCTGTGAAGCGAGAGGTGGGACGTGTATCTTGTACGACGCTCGGAGTGAACTCGTCTTAACCACTTCTAGGGCGGAAAGCTTCGAAGCGTAGTCTACGAGCGCACGGTCTAGTAAACTAACGAAAGAGAAGTTTCCACTGTGAAAGTGGTGCTCCACACGCGAATGATTTCGAAGAGGGGAGGATTCGCAAAGAAAAGCTTAGCATTCTTGTCCACGTTTCAACTTTGCTTTCCCCCCCATTGATCCACGGGCTTTTCAACGCGCGCGCCTCTCGATTTCCGTTTCTCGAAAAACCTTTGATCGGATTTTCGGGATCAAATATACGATTACGCTCATTCTTTTTCCAGAGGGAAACAAATGGATCCGGTATTCACGTATTATCCCGAAATCCCGATGTTTATTTAAATTTCACTTTATCCCGTTCCATTGATTCGCTCCTACCTCTACCCAGATCGATTTTATTGCCTCTAAACTTGGCGAGAGAGCGTAACGCTATGCCCCAACTTTCACGTTTCCAATTCCATTTTACAATTCGTTATAAATTCAAGGAGGAACGGTTTCGTGTTCTTCTAGCGTTGTTTGTATTCCATTCTTCGTTTTCGAAATATATACGTACGGTAAAGTGTTTTAATTCGTAACTGGATATAAGAATATATTTATGAATAAAATTGTATCGATGAATATCGACGAGTGATGATAATATCGCGAAGGTTTTCAAACTTGTTTTCGTTAAAAAAGTTGTTAACCTAACCTAACCTAACCTCGTATAACCTAGATCGATTTTATTGGGTGGTTCAAAGTTTGCGAGATCGTAACGTTATGCGCAACTTTCACGCACGTTCCAATTCCACTTTACAGTTCGTTATAACTTCGCTAGAGAGCGCTTCATGTTTTCCTACCATTGTTTATTTCCATTCTTCGAAATTTACGTTACGTGTGGATAATTCGTGCGGTGTTAAATCGGAAAATAATTGTAAATAAAAATATATAAATATCGATGAAGATTAATAAACTAGAGTTGTTTTAAGAAAAAGTATTGGTAAATGTTTATAAAAATGTATTATTCTTTGATTACGATGATTTTTTTAATATTTTCAAATTCGTTATAGTGAACTTTTATTATTTTCATATTATTATTATTATTATTATTATTATTATTAATGAATAGCGTTGAAAGTTTTAATTAACTTACTTTACTTACTCTTACTTAGTCATTGTTTATTGATAAGTTAACCTAACCTAATTTGATATAAAATTAGAAATTAAGCAAATTTTTGTTCGATATTAATTTATTTATATTAATTCTAACATTCAATTTCATATAAAATCAAAATTAAATAAAAACTTGAATAAAAACCTGATTATTTAACTGAATTAATAATTTGATTGGACTAATTTTCGTAATCAATTATTTGTAATGATAAATCTAATCTAACCTAACCTAATTTAAAGTGTTTCAAAGGAAACATATTTTTGTTAATAATTTTTTAATGGTGAACAATGAAAAGTAAGCAAAGTAAGTAATCTTGAAGAGAATATTTAGTAAAATTCAAAATGTCTTTCGTTGTAAAAAATAAATTACGTATCTTGGAAATTTTGTGTGGAAATAGACACGATAGAAAAGAAATAAAATAACGAAATATATACGATTGTTCGCGCTTTTCTCCCACTGTATAATTCGAAAGGAACAATTTAAGGATATCAAATGGCACGGAAAGAAAAGGAAAGTCGATCATTCGTGAACAATGGCACTCTATGGATGTTATTTCAGTAGAATAGGAGCAAAACAGGTCGATGTTGGGTAAACCCATTGGTCGCGTTACACGCTGTTACCCTCGCAAAACTGTTCTCTACTCGTTCTGATTCCCGATTCACCGCCAATGCGTATCTTTGGTTAGTCAGGATTTCTACCACGAACAAGTTTTCAAGCTTATTCGAAAAACAGTACGCTCTTAATAATTCCCCAATTATTCCCCTTGTATCTGGAAATTATTATAAATTAATAAAACTCGCATAAATAATTCACGGAAATAATATGAATAATAATAACTCGATGAAATAAACGATAAATTAATATTCAAAATTCTCGATATCGTACAATCGTATAATACGATTTCGATTTAATTTTTCACTATAATAAAATTTTAAAATTCGGGAATAGCTAATGAAGTGATATTTCTATTCGAATTATATATTTGTGCAATTCGAATTTTCCATTCTCTCTCCTCTCTCTCTCTCTCTCTCTCTCTCTCTCTCTCTCTCTCTCTCTCTCTC